GGAGAAAGGGAGGGGGGGGGGGGGTTGGAGGGGGGAGGGGACGTGAACCCAAAAATGAAAAAATCTATTTCAGCAACTTTTATAAAAGAAAAGAAAATTTGGAAAAAAATAAACCTGTGGAGGGAATCAGGAAGGGAGGGGGTGGGGGTGTGTGTGTGAAAGATCCACAGGTGTCCACTAGAGGGACGAGAGGAACCGCTGTTGAGGGCAGTGAAGATTACAGTGAGATGACAGTGACACTTGTCCACCACTAGGTGACATCCACACCTGTCATGTCCTGGCACCGCCGGGAGTCAAAAGGTCACGAGACGGAGACGGCGAGCGGTGTGGCGACATCTCCACCTGTCATGTCCGCACGTCGGACGTCACCGCTAACAGTCTGAGACAGAAGGGGAGAGTGCAGCCAGAGGAGAGACCCTGGAGGGGGGGGGAGGAGGAGAGGGAGGCAGAGGGTGATGTCGTTTTTTTTAAGATGACATCTTCACCTGTCGTGTTGAATACTCCTCCAGGTGTCATCGTAACCAGGATGGAGACAAAAGGTGGAGATGTTTGGTCCTGAAGCTGCGATGAAGACGTCAGGGGGGGGAGGGAGGGAGGGTCCTGGAATACCTGGAGATTCAATGATCAACCTACAAAAAACCAAACTCCTATCTTTGCCCCTTCACCTCTCTCCATCACTCCTCCCCCCTCTGCTTCTCCGTCTTGCAGAGGTTTACTTCCGCGTCCTGCCTGTGGTGGCGCTGTGCCTTCGTGCTGCACCTCGTCATTACCCTAACCCTCAGACGTGAATCATTTTGTCAACTTCACTCTGTCAGATACACAGTATCTGTAAATGTCTATTTTATTTTCTGCCTCCCCCCTCGTCTCCCCCCTCGTCTCCCCCCTCCCTCCTCAGAGGCCTTGGCATTGTCTTACCCCTGGGACTGCTATGTCTTCGCCCTGGCTGTTTTCGTGACGCTGACCAATCAGATCCATAAGTGGAGCCACTCCTACTTCGGCCTCCCACGCTGGGTCACTCTCCTCCAGGACTGGCATCTGGTGTTGCCACGGAAACACCACCGCATCCACCACGTCTCGCCGCACGAAACCTACTACTGCATCACCACAGGTGAGGACCGGCAGTTTTAGAGCCCCGCCCACTCCACGTTGACAGATCG